GATCCCGAAGTTCCTGAGAAACTGAAACACTGACTTCCATAGTGGTTGCACAAGTTTGCATTCCCACCAGCAATGGATGAGTGTACCCCTTTCTCCACAACCTCTCCAACAAAGGCTATCATTGGTGTTTTTTATTTTAGCCATTCTGACAGGTGTAAGATGGTATCTTAAAGTTGTCTTGATTTGCATTTCCCTGATCACTAAGGAAGTTGAGCATGACCTTAAGTGTCTTTTGGCCATTTGAAGTTCTTCTGTTGAGAATTCTCTGTTCAGCTCAATGCCCCATTTTATAATTGGGTTGGTTAGCCTTTTACGGTCTAGTTTCTTGAGATCTTTATATATTTTGGAGATCAGACCTTTGTCAGTTGCGGGGTTGGTGAAGATCTTCTCCCAGTTAGTGGGTTGCCTTTGTGTCTTAGCGACAGTGTCCTTTGCTTTACAGAAGCTTCTCAGTCTGGACAGCCATCAGAAAGAAGTGGCTATGCCACACCCCACTTCTCAGGTATTGATTCAGTGTCTGTTGTGGACCCAGATATCTAACATTTTAATAAGCATGATTTAGTGTCTGTCGTGGACACAGATATCTACCATTTTAATAAGCACTCCCTGCAAATGTGATGCAGTAATGCATGGCCCTTTCGGGGAAATGGTCTGATGGGGATGGCGTCCATTTCAGTCCTGGTCATTTAAAGGAACCCATGCAGACTTCTGTCATCTGGGGAGTCTATGAATGTCATTGTTCTACAGTGTGCTGCTCTTGCTGCTACCTGCTCAACAGGATGTGTTCCTACAAGGCATCACAGACCAGCTGCTGGTCACAAGGATGGGAAGAGAAAAGGAAATGACTCACCTGGTGAGTCCCACATGATCTTGTCACTCTTGCTCAGGTAACAGGCTGACCAGACCACACCACACTTGGTTCTTCTCCAGGAGTTGGTTCTGCATGGAAAGTTCACTGTTTTCTCCCCTGTTCTACTAGAAGGCAGAGAAGGAGGAGAGAAATCTCATGGAGAGGGGAGGAAGGCAGATGAGAACGCTCATGCACTCTACTGTAGTGAATATAGGGATGGAGTAGTCTATCTGCATCCAGTCAAGTCAAAGATGTGCAGTGACATCTTCCTCTTCTTTGTTCATCTCACAGACCCTTCCTATACAGACACACACACACACACACACACACACACACACACACACACACACACACACACACACACACTGGTGACACTGATGACTCACATACTGGAAACAAGGGCTCATGTCAGCTTCTTGTCAACCTTCTGTGTGTACTCTCTACAGTCTTGTTGTACTTCTCATAGAAGAGACCTGACATTGACAACCTTGAAAAGGAACAAACTTGGAGGATGAACACCTGACTCCCAAACTCCTTATAAACATAGAGAAATGAAGACAGTGTGCCTCATTGGTAATTACAAGAAGACAGAAAAGAATATGAAGGGGACAGAAGAGTCACACACGTGTGAGAGGACACCTTTAGCAAAGACACAAAGACACTTCAGTGAAGCAGGCATATGCTGGTCACCGAGTTTTTCTGGGACTGTTGGTGGTTATAGGAGGTACAGCCCAGCATCGTGATCAGCTGCCTAAGGATAACCCTGTTCCTTTGATGACCATGACCTTGGTAAAGCTGGATCTATGATTAGGCTGCAGAAAAGAATTTCAGGAAAAGCCAGAATGAAGCAAACTTGTGAGCTTATTCATGCTATGGAAGAAGCTCACATAGTATAGGGATGGCTCAGGAATGAAGGCCTGAGTGAGGACTAGAGAGACTTGAGATTAGGGTGTGTGAGGAGGGCAGGAGAGTGAGAAATGTGAAGATTTTTATGGTTCTCAGAGTTACATTGTTACATTATTACATTGTTTGAAAATTACATGCTTTGAGTCTTTGAAATGGTTCTGTTTTTCCACTTGAAGAAAATATACAATAGGTTATTAAAAGTAAAAAATAAAAATGCTTTTAAATGTTCTTATCCCTTTTAAAAAAATTTTAGTAAATTAAATTGTAAGGTGAATATGTGATTCTGCAAACATTCTGGTCCTAAGTAAGCATAATTAATTAATTTTTTTAATGTTTTTCACAAGGAAGTCTGTGCACCATCTGAGTGAATACCTATTGCTCACAGAGGACACCAGAGTTTGAGATCTCTCAGAACTGGAGTACAGACAGTTGTGAATCATCAGGTAGGTGCTGGGTATCAACCCTGGATCCTCTGGAAGACATCCAGTGATATTAAAGAATGAACCCTATCCTCGGACCCTAGTTTATTTGCTGTATTTTTTAAACACTATTTGGGATGTCTTTAGTACTACTTGCATTATATCTGTGGGTAATTTCGACTCTATCAGTTGGGTGGAGGCTTCTTGAATGTCAGTTAGAAAAATGTAAAAATGATCACAGGGACGGGTGGTGTTGGCTCACGCCTTTAATCCCAACACTTGGGAGGCAGAGGCTGGCAGATCTCTGTGAGTTCGAAGCCAGCCTGGTCTACAAGAGCTAGTTCCAGAACAGGAACTAAAAAGCTATGAAGAAACCCTGTCTCGAAAATCCAAAAAAAAAAAAAAAAAATGATCACAGGGTGAGGGGCTGTGTATTCCCCTCTCATATCCCCTTCAATGCCCTGTTTTTCTGTCTTATTATGGGACAAGTGGGCATCCTCATGGACAAATATAAATATAGACAAGTTGTTTATCACCGGATACAAAAGTCAACCAAAATTAACAAATGATCTACATAGGACTAGAGAGACATCTCCGAGGTTAAGAGTGCCTTTGGCTATTGCAGAGGACCTGACTTCAGCTTACAGTCCCCATATGGTGGCCCAGAGATACCTATAACTCCAGATCCAGGGGAGCTGACAGTCTTTTCTGGTCTCAGCAAGCATCTGCATTCAAATGTGCATACGGCACACACAAACATATAGGCAGATACCCAGTAAATAGTGAAAGCAAATCTAAAAGGTAATTAATCCAAAATACAACCTAAGCATGAATCTTGTAACAGAAAGCAATTGAAAGAATTATAGACAAAATTCATAGATATAACAAACCCCTTTTATGAAAAGAAGAACTGGACTGTTAGGACTTCCATAAAGTGAAAAATGTACACTGTGATATAAAAGATATTTTCCCTGCCTGGGAAAAAATGAATGTAGGAAATTGTGTATTAGATGACAGCCTTATTGTTTCCAGAATACAGAAAGCCTAAAAAAGAGTCACTAAGAAAATACACAATTCATGAAATAAAAGTTGTCCAGAAGGGTGAGTAGATGCTCCACTAAGCGGAACATACAGCATCAACATCCTTAACACTTAGGGAAGAGAGACAGGTGATTCTAGGGGACTCTTGACACCCCCACAAAATATTCAGAAATAATAATATGAAGACCTGGCAAGGTTGTGGGGGATGAAACTATCATACTGACTGCTGGTAGCCATGGGAAATAGGACAATAACTTGGAAAAATATTTCTCAGTTTCTTGATATGTTAATTGTCATTTGACCAAAGCTGTAACAACTTTCCTGATGGAGCAGAGCTGTTACTTTGAGGAAAGCTTTCCCTGAAGCAGATCTGTAAGCTGCTAAGCTTATACTGACTTTGTGGTATTCCTTGCATCTGGACGGCCAGGATCCCTTTACATTTGAGCTGAAATGTTTACACTACACATATATGTTTTTAATTGTACTCATTGTCTGGCAGAAAGACATCTCCACTCTGCCTTATGGAATCCAGGTCCAGAAAGTACTAGCCAATCACAGTCCAGCCAGAGTCCTCAAAGACTGGTCTGGCTGGTAGACAACCAGAGGCCTGCCCAGAGCTACAAGGCTTCCATTACAATGAGCAAAATGTGTGGTGGAGAAACAGGAGAGAAAGAGTAGCGGGATGGTTCATGTGCTGTGAAAAGAGGGAGAATAGAAGGTGGTAAGGAACAGGCTGAGGGGGTGGTCTTCTTGTCATTCATGGTCATGGGGTCATCAGGACCGAGGTTGCTACCAAAGGTCATTTCTGGGTCTCTGTTCTTATTGCAGCTTGGGTCTATGTTAACATCCATGGTCCACGCTGCCACCAAAGGGCACACAGGAGCCTGGAGTCTGGGCTGTGTCCTCTGGCCTTGTTGGGATCTGAGCGCTGTGTTGCCATTGGAGTGACAATGATCTGAGAGACCCGAGCTGCCAACCTGGGCCATGGTGTTGTCCATGCCTGAGCTGCTGACCAGGGCCATATCTGTGACCCAGCAGTAGCCAGGGTCTTTGTCTTCCTGACTCCTGTTACCAATGAAGGCCATGCGGATGCCTGAGGTGTGGGCCACCACCTGAGGCCACGTTGGTGTCCAAAGGCTTTGCTGCAGCTGGTGCCATCCTGATCTGTGTGGTCTGTGAAACCACCCGGGAAATGGTGACATCAAGGACGAGTTGTTGCCAGGATCATGTTGGGTCTATGGTCCTACCAGAGCTAGGGTATGTGCTGATGTTTGTGGCCCATGTTACTACAGGGGGCCTTAAGAGCCATGAATGATGATATCCAAGGGCCAGAGTGAGCTGGTTCTGCCCTTTGGTGGACATTGTGTCAAGAGCTGGCCCTGACTTTCACAGGAGAGCTAGTCCCACACCTCACCATGGGCATTGGAAAACTGGGCCTGGTGCCATGGGCATAGGTGAGCTGGCTTCGGCCCTATCCTTAGGCAGGCAGCTGATCAGCTCAGCTACCACCCAGGTCCATATTGGGGTTCTTGGCTTGGCCCATCCTAACATCTACACCATCTAAGGCCTACTGGAATGCTGGAATTGACTGGTCCTGGGGAACAATACCTGCAGAATCTCTGTTACGTGGGGTGACTGCAGGATATCCTAGAGGAGTTTTGTTGAGGGTCCCATGATGATAGTGTACCAGAAACTAGAGGCCATGAACAAGTTCAATGACTCATTGCAATGAAAGTTTACAAGCAAATATGTTGGACAAAAAGGTATACTGTGTGACTCACCTTATATGTAGATCGTATTAAAGTGTAATAGAAGCCCGAGTACTGCTTCTGATGACTTCAGTTGGATCCCCAGGACCCACATTGTGGAAGCAGAGAAATGACTCCTGCAAGTTGTCCTCTGACCTCTACAAGTACACTGTAGATCATGTATGGCCTTGCCAGACACACAAAATAGGCAGACAAATAAATGTAAAAAATGTAAATGGACATAACTTACCAAACACAAAACAAAAGCCAAAAATAACCGATGTTCTTATTGCTGACTGAAATAGACTCTAAAATGATTGCTTTTTTCAAGACATATATCTGAAACAAAGGCATTAAAATGTTAACTTGAACACTTAAAAAGAAGTAAACACATACCATCCAGGAACGAATTATTAGAAATCTAGAGTTATAATCTTAACGTTTAAGAAAGAACTAAAACTAAAGTGGAATAAAACAATTTTAAAACATGAAGTAATGTTATGTGTAAAATTCATTAGGAGAATGCAAATCTTTCATACTTATATTTCAGTCACACAGCAAAATATGGATTGAAGGAGAATTACAAGAAAGTATTAAAGCCGATTAATAATTGCAGATGAATGCAAAGTAGTTTTCTCAATGTGACCACAATCATAGGAAAATAATTTATTAAATGAGAGGCCCTGCATACCCTAACCTCAAAGGCATATGCCCTGGGAAGACATATGGAACTCTTAAGTCTGATATAATCTTTTTTGTTGAAAGCATGGATTATTCCGTGATGGGAACTTCATTTGATGTGTAATGCAGTTTCTCCCCCTTTCCTTATCAGCATTTACAGGTTATTATTGACAGTCAGAAACAAATGAGAGAAATGTCCCAGAGACAAGTCCATGGCCATCGTCACAGATATCACACGCAAAAGACATACATAATTTTGTAGCTCTCACTATCCTGTGTGTGGTCAGAGATGAATCTGTTTTAACGTGGTTGTACCCCTTGAGCTCTCAGTAAACACCAGGGAGCTAGGAGAGTGAGAATGAGAGGTGTCGTGTGTGTGTGTGTGTGTGTGTGTGTGTGTGTGTGTGTGTGTGTGTGTACAGGTATTCCTTGGCAGAGGCTGGTCTGCAAAGACTGGTTGATTGACTCTTAGACCTGCAGTGATATGGAGATGGTGGAAGTCACAGTCCCAGGGCCTAATTACAATTTCCTTTGTGTTCTCTTGAGCCCATGAGTAGCCACTCCTTGGGCCCCCTGTGCTGGACTTACTTAACACCTTGTCATTAACAGATGACGTTGGACCTGACATTTAAAATATCAGAATATGTCTCCTTATCAAAGCTTTAAGTTTCTACCAGTCAAAGGACTGCTTTTCATCACATAGCAGCTAGTGCCTGTAGCTGAGCTTTCTCTGCTTTACCATAACAGTCTACTTAATATTATCACCCATGTACTTAAGGAGAGTCTATAGTTTCTTCATTCTGTGATTATAAAAACTTCATGAAACTGTTTCCACATTGTAACTTGCAATTTGTACTAACATAAACCTGTCTCACTCATGTTTACTCACATATATTTGACTCCAGAATGAACTCTCTTCTTCCTTCGAGGTGAGAGCTGTATGTTTACATTGACATTTGTTAGTGTGTGTTGTGTATATACTCATGCTTGTGCAAATATGTCCCTGGATATATATGTGTGAAAGTTAGTTAATCACTTACTGCTGTGATAGGTTATGTGTTATAATTCTCCTGGTCCTCTTCAATGATGACCTGGTGTGTAGTACACTGCTTACTAATCTCCATAGTTCTTTACTCATGTGCTGACCGATATCAGTATGGCTCAACACCCATTTTCCCAAACTGTTTTCCTCTATTGCTGTTCTCTATTTCCATGCTCCATTTGTCCCAGTATGGCTAGAGGAATCCTTTTAAGATGGCATCTGTGTTCATCTGGTGCCTCTGGAGAGGAGATGGAAAGTCTAGGAAATCCATCCATTCCAGTGTCAGGGGATTCAAGGTGACCACCACATTCATATTCTCTACAGAGCACCACTCTGTATCCCGTGTGCACTGCCCACTTTACACTCAGGGAGGATGAAGTGAGTCGTGGAGCACTACAGTTGCTACAATCCATAAATGGAACTGCTCTAGTATTGTATCAAGTTTCCAAACACACTGAAAACGCATTGCTATTCCATAAAACATCAGCCCCTTTAAAGAAAATAAATGTAGGCATGTAGTTTGAATGCCACCTCCTGGCCATAATGGGGACTACATCAGTGAGAGTCTTGGGCCCAGTGGCGTCTATGTTTGGGTGGGAGGGAACATTGGCTGTGACCTGGACTTGAAGGGACCTTACCTCTGGAGATAAAGCAGTGTTTTTTCACTTCAGTATATTTTCCTGGTACATAAACCTTGACATCTTAGGTATATCAAATGTAAACCCGAGATTGGAGACCAATCCCAGTCTAAGGCTAACATAAAGCAGCCTCATTAGATAGAGATGGTGGAGCTCTGTGTGCAAACACACACACACACATATGCACACAGGCATGCACAGAGCATGAGAGTAGATTCCATTTGTCCTTCTACTTCATTGCCCAGAAACGGAACACAATGACTACTTCTAAAGTACAGAAGGTATAAACATCGTTTATCCAGTGTGTGGTTGTGTGCCCGTGTGCATATGTGTGTGCTTCTGCAATTGTATGCATACATGCATGTGGTCAGGGGACAGAAGGCAGCCTCCGGTGTTGTACCTCAGGCGCCATCCCCCTGAAGTTTTTCTTAGACAAGGTTTCTCACTGGCCTGGAACACGCAAGGCAGGCTGGGTTGGCTGGGCAGCACACTCCAGGGATAGGCTTGCCTCCACCTTCACACACAAGCAAGTCCCACCACACCTACTACTTTTCCTGCTGTAGTTTAACTTCATTTTCTTGATGATGCTCTCTGTGAATGACACTCAGGGCCTCATGCCCACAAGGCCAGCAATTTATTGATTTAGCTGTCTCCCCAGCCCCACTTTTACCACCCGAGCACAAGCATTTTTCTCAGTTTACACTTTAAAGTACTTTCCTTCCTGGATACGAAATTTGAAACACCACCGGAAAGCACATGTACTACCATAAGGAAATCTGTGTCTGTCGCCGGGCTTATTCCTACCCCTAAGGCACAGGGCTGTCTGCAGGGAAATCTCCAGAGAGTGAGCTATCTGAGTAGAGTCCCAGCCGCCATTTTCTGTGCGCCTTGCTGTATGTGGTGGTGAGGAAGTCACTTCCCCATTTAGGGGATGGTAATCTTTAATGTGTCTGCCAGGGACACACAGGGCTCTGCCTAACATCCAGTGAAAAGAGGATGGTTTCCCATGACAGAACTAAGCTGAAACTTTCCCACAGTGAATGGAATGATAATAGTCCTGCTAACTATTTTGTGTGTTTAGTGCAGAGTCTCAGAGCAGCCCAGCCCAGCCTGGGACTCTTCCCCTTCCTCCCTCAGCCTTCAGAGTGCTGCTGGTCCTCCCAGCTTACCACACTGCCCCAGCTCAAGTATTCATTTTAATGTAAACACATTCTTAATGCTACTGTTTTCTTCTCGGCCCAGTAACATTTTCATTCCATTTCTACATGTATATGGTTGAATTCCCACGAAATAAGTAATTTTATCATTGATTTCCCTGCAAAAATTTATTTTATAATGATCCACATCTCTTGAAAAACCATGTACTCTAAGATTGTTTTCCTAAGAAATTTCACATTTTCTGAGATATTTCTGGTTTTTGTTTGGTTTTCATTTTGAGGCAGGGCCTCTCTGTGCTATTAAGGCTGTTCTGAAACTTCTTAGCAGTAATGATCGTGTAACCCCAGTGTTCAAATAGCTGAAAGTGCACGCATTTGCCACCTAACGCTGATGAAAACTGTTCGCAGTACTGCCTGGCATTTGACCATTTTTCTTCATTGTTTCACAACAATTATTTTAATTTGTACATAATTTTAAAATATACATAACTTAATAATAATTACGTTGTGTATATTCCTATGTGTATGTACACATGAATTCCGGCGCCTCCAAATGTCAGGAGAGGTCATACCTTCCTGGAGCTGAGGTATGGTCCTTCAAGGATGTTGGAAATGGATGCTGGAAACTACCTTGGATCCTCAGCAACAATAGAATGCACTCTGAACCACTGAGTCATCTCCCCTGCCAGACTGTAGACTGTTAGATTCCGTTAGCCTTTATAATGTTCATATTTTAAATTCCACTGTGTTTTCCCCTTGGTCAATGACCTGGAGTTGATGCTTCTTTTTTTTTCTTGTTTAGATTTTAGTTATACTTTTAATTATGTCTGTCTGTCTGTCTGTGGTATGCACATGATTGGCAGAGGCATTGACTCCTGATGGGGCTAGAGTTAAAGGCAGTTGTGAGCTATCTGCCATGGGGGCTGGGAGCCATACTCTCATAAACAGTAATGACTCTCTTGTCTCTTTCCTCCTCCCTCTACGCCTTGAGTGCTGGTATTACAGGTGAGGGTGAACATGCCCAGAGGGTCAAAGAACACAGAGCAATTTCCATTCTAGGCAATCATTCTGCCACGAGAGCTATGTCGCCAGTCCCCATACTGTGGCTTTTTAAATTCACCAGTGATTTCTTTTCATGGTATAGCATTCTCATTGAACAGCTACCAGAGAAATCAAGAATATAGCTGGGAATGTGTGCACAGCCAGGGGAGCAATAGCAGTGTCTAGGGACCACTTTTAAAAATCCCCAAATGTGCTCCCACCACATTTGTGAAGAGCTTGGGACAGGGCCGTCAGATGCTGGGCAGATCTAAGTGCTGTAGCATCCTCGAGTCCAGCCTCTGGCAAGGACATCCTGTTCCCGAGAGCAAGTCTCCTGCCAGCAAACCTACCTTACATGCCCAGCTTCCCAAAGGTCAGCAACAAGGGACTAGAGGCTGTTGTTGTACTGTCTGTGGATGTGTGTGCACAGCCAATGACCCAGACCCTGCAGAAGAATCACAAAACAGGAAAAAGGTTGGTCAAAGAATCAGACACATCCTTAAGCTCAGTGCTGAAGACATAAAAAAAGAAAATTTGGAAATATAGCATAGTGTGTGGAAATAGAAATGACGGAGAAAGAAGAACAGGATTTCCCTTGCACGGAGATGTGAGTGTATGTGTCCTGATGTGGGGCTGTGCCTCCCTAGGAGTATGGGGACAATGATGAAGGGATCCCAGAGATATCTGAGAAGCCGGATTCTGCGTTTGGATGTCTGTACAGCAATGGTTCTCAGCCTTCCTATGCTGTGACGTGACTCTTAATACAGTCCCTCATGCGTGGTGATCCCAACCAGAAAATTATTTCTGTTGCTTCATCATCGCTGTAAAGTTGTTACAGGTAAGAATCACAATGGAAATAGTTTTGGAGATAGACGTTTGCTGAAGGGGTCAAGTCACAGGTTGAACCACTTTTCTAGAGTCAGAGAGATGTGGGACCTTCCTAGCCCCAGCAACTTTGGTTCCCTGAGCCAGGATGTCCTGGACCCATTCTCCAAACACAGGCTGGGAATTTCTGTGAGGAGAAAACAGAGTGAGACCCTCTGCTCTGAGCTGTGCTTCCCACTCTGTGAATTGAGAGCATCACACTGCTCATGTGCTAATTTGGGGGTCTTTAGTGATAATACCTGCTTTAAATACCAGTCACAAGTTCCTGCATATGTGACAGACTAATGTTGATATATGCAATTGGAATTACAGGCTGGCCTTGAACTCAGACATCCAACTGCCTCTGTCTTGTGAATGTTTGCTCCATTCCCTGCTGTCAAAAATAAGCATTTCTAAAGGCAGTCTTCTTCTGGAGAAATAGGGACAAACAGTTGCTGCAGAATTTAGAGACTGATTTCACTTCAACTCTGCCTAAAACCTACTCACTTCCTTCATCTGTAAACCTGCCAAGAGCAGTACATGCTGTAGAACAGCCATTTTCAAAAATACACTGAATTTTGGGTTCACTTTTTAAGAGACAAATGTTAGATTCTTATTCTGTTGGAAATTATGCTACAGTTAGCTGTACTTAGAAAACTTTACATCTGAAAATTATTCATCAGCAACTCGTTATCAAATTGTTAAGTTTTACAATGACTAGTTTGGGTATTCAAACTATCCTGTGTCAATACACGTGGAATAACTGATGTCAGTAAATGGAAGCACCGTGTCTCCATGTGGTCAGACAAATCCAGAGATGTTAGAGCAATGTCTCCACAAGGAAAATGCACAGCGCATCCAGGTGCTATCTGCCCTCTCCCAGACAAGGCTGCACAGGGCAGCTCTCCTGCTGATCACTGCAGCATGGCTTCATCCCTCTTTCATACCTCCATCCCTCCCCTGTCTTCGGAACCATCTCCACTGTCTCCACACAATCCCTCATTCCGCCCTCCCCAGGCCTTTCTCTGTTCAGTGCCAAGTCACCTTCTACCAAAAGGAAACATATCATGACAATTCCATAACTCACCTTCCACACAGATCATATAATCCAAATGTCATACACAGCTGACAATGACAACATTTTCCTTTCTGTCCTATCCCCAAGCAGTGTCCACGTTGTCTTCAAGGTTCTGGCAACTAGCCTTGTTCTCTGCTCTTAGATCCACTGTTCTCCATGGAAGCAAGCACGCCCACAACTTGGTTTGTGCACGGTCTTGCTTCTATTTGCCATTCAGGACTCAGATCACATGCTAACTTCTGAAACCTTTGGGGGTAACATCACATACGACAATCCCCATCACAACTATTTCCTGTCCCCTTTATGATCTTTAAAGCGCCAATAATACACGGAATTGCTGTGATTACTGATTTCTTCTGCTTACTGACAGTTTGCCTATCTAACACGATATACAAGGACCCGTGCTAGTCTTCACAGTGCAGGAACAAGGTGTTCACTAAAGAGGCCACTATGTGAATATCTGGATAAATGTACACGAAGGAATTGATTTGTCTATTTGATATGGCATGCAACACACAGGTATTTAAGGCAGTAACAAGAGAACATGGCATGCACTTAAGCAGTCTGTGACTTCATATCCTGGAAGACAGAATATCAAACACACTAGCAATACGTTTTAACATGGACAGCCATCAGAAAGAAGTGGCTATGCCACACTCACTTCCTAGGGTTTGAATCAGTGTCTGCTGTGGACCCAGATATCTACCATTTTAATAAGCATGATTCAGTGTCTGTTGAGGATCCAGATTTCTACCATCTTAATAAGCAATCCCTCCAAATGTGATGCAGTCATGCATGGCCCATTCGGGGAAATGGTCTGATGGGGATTGCTTCCATTTCAGTCCTGGTCATTTAAAGGGACCCCTACAGGGTTCAGTCATCTGGGGAGTCTATGAATGCCATTGTTTCACAGTGTGCTGCTCTTTGCTGCGACCTGCTCAACAGGATGTGTTCCTACAAGGCATTACAGACCAGCTGCTGGTCACACAGATGGGAAGAGAAAAGGAAATGACTCACCTGGTGAGTCCCACATGATCTTGTCACTCTACTGTACTGAATATATGGATGGAGTAGTCTGTCTGCATCCAGTCAAGTCAAAGATGTGCAGTGACATCTTCCTCTTCTTTGTTCATTTCACAGACCCTTTATACACACCCATGTACACATCACACACACACACACACACACACACACACACACACACACACACACTCACATTGGTGGCAATGATGACTCACATACTGGAAACAAGGGCTCATGTCAGCTTCTTGTCAACATTCTGCGTGTTCTCTCTGCAATCCTGCTGTTCTTCTCATAGAAGAGACCTGACATTGATAGGCAGAGGACACAAAGTATCACTGACAAGAAGCATTTGCTTTTGGCTTTCTTCCCTGGGGTGGTCAGATAATCCAGAATTCTAGACAGATAACAAATGAAGAGCAGGTCCACTTGAATGTACTCCCACGGGCATGTTATGGGATAATTTAAGCATCACAGTATATAATGATGACAAAGGAGTACTCCTTTAAGAAATGGGTGTTTCTGAGTAGACACAAACGCATGAGTAAATCCATTAATAAACAAAACATAAAAGAGAAACATTACTCAAAGACAAGCAATTCTTGTATACTAGTAACTGCACAGGGAAGTAGGCATCAGAGCAACACTTAGCAGGCGTCATGGTTATAATAAACATGGAAAGAACCATACATAAAACACCCCTCTGTACAAGTCCACAGCAACACTGCTAAAATCTGCATGACTGGATGGGAAAACAAGAGGGAAAACACACGGGTACTAACCTTTTCCTTTTTGTGTTGGGGAGAATAATATTAGATATTTTGAAAATAATTACCTAAGTATTCTTCATAATACAAACCTTTCTGGAGTTACACATACATACCTAACTCTTCACATGTATCCCCTTCTTTCTCTCCACCGTGATCTCAGCACCTCCCTGATGGAGCTAGCTGGGAGGTAAAGGACTATCTCTATGATTCCAAAGATGCCATTGGGGCAAACCTTTGACCTGTGGCTGCCTTAGAAATTTTCCCCCAAACTGGGTGTTGGACATTTGTTTCTGTTCTCATAATTCACTTGCAACTTCAAAGTACTGAATTTTAAACACAGCAAATATATGTTAGCATCAAAGACATTTTCATCATAGAGAATGTAATTAAATATTTTAACCTAAAAGATTCATCAATAACTCTGTCTAAATTTAACACAGACAGCTGACCACAGTGAAATGAATGTGTGGAAGCTGTAATTTAAAATCCCTGTCACTGGAGATAGCATCAGGAAATATGAAATAATTAGGAAAACTCTGCCCACTTCTCTGTAGTGCCTAGACACTGAATGGGACAACTCATTGCTGAGAGTAAAGATGTATAGATTCATCGACTGTGGCGATATTTTGTTTCTTCCATGACAATAAAGCTTGCCTGAGAATCAGTGTGTGCAGATAGCCACTAGTTAGCCACAGAAGACAGGCAGTGTTGGAACTCACCTTTCCCAACACTTAAGAAACAGAACTCTGTGAGTTCAAGGCCATCCTGGGCTACATTAGATTGATCCAGTCTAAAAGAGAAACAGAGTCAGGCAGTGGTGACTCACATCTTTCATCAAAGTGCTTTGGTGTCACACACCTTTAATCCCAGCACGAGGGAGATGGAGAATGAAAGGAATGTGGCTGGGAAAAGAGAGGAATATAAGGTGGGAGGAGATAGGAGATCCAGGCAGTCAGTCTGAGGTCTTGTAGAGACAGGATGCTCCATTTGGTCTGAGGATTTTGTCGAGGAAAGAACTAGTGTCTGGCTGCTCTGCTGTTCTGATCTTATAGCTCCAACCACTTAATATCTGACTCCAGATTTTATTATTAAGACCAATTAGAACTCACGCTACAATCATCTTCATGTGATGGAATATACAGGTGTCTGTTCTCCTCATACAGTCCTATAGATCCAGTGCAATACCAACAGAACTCTAACAGACTTTTCATAAACTAATGGGCTTATCCTGAAATTCACAGTGAATATGGAGAACCCCAGCTTGAAACAACCTTATAAAGGAACAAACTCGGAGGATGAACACCTGACTTCCAAACTCCTTATAAACCTAGGGAAATGTAGACAGTGTGCCTGATTGGAAATGACAATAAGACAGAAAAGAATATGAAGGGGACAGAAGAGTCACACATGTGTGAGGGGACACCTTTAGCAAAGACTCAAAGACACTTCAGTGAAGCAGACATTTGGCTTCACGGAGTTTTTCTGGGACTCCCCATAAGTGGTAGGGAGGTACAGCCCAGCACAGTGACCAGCAGCCTGAGGATAACCCTGTCGCTTTGATGACCTTGACCCTGGTAAAGATGAATCTAGGATGCAGTAAAGAATTTCAGAAACAGCCAGGATGAAGCAAAGGTTGTGAGCTTATTAATCCTGTGGATAGAAGCTCACACAGAATAAGGATGGCTCCTGCATGATGGCCTGAGAGTGGACTGGAGAGAGACTTGAGATTAGGTGTCATTGCAAAGGGTATGTGAGGTGGGCAGGGAGGGAGGTACAGTGGGAGAGGGAGAAATGGGAGGATTTTTATGGCTCTAAAGTTACATTGCTGAAAGAATGTAATTCAGAAAATTTCAAGATTAAATTACATTAAAGCCTATATTCAGGTTTTTAAATTAACTATAAGAATATTTTTACTCTTTAAATGGGTTCTATTTTTCCATTAGGAAAAAATATTCAATAGGTTATTAAAAAGTAAAAAATGAAAATAAAAAGCAATGCTTTTAAATGTGCTTATTCCTTTTAAAGTTTCTTTCAGTAAATTAAATTGTAAGGTGATTATGTGACTTAGGCGAGAGAATAGAGTGCTATCATCATCCATCTCAAGGCTACAAGTATTCTGCCCATAAGTAAGCATAACTGCGTTTTTTATTTTCTGCTTTTGAATGCTTCTCCACAGGGAAGTCTGTGCACCACGTGAGTACCTAATAATGCCCACAGAGGGTGCCAGACTTTATGAGATCTCTCGGAACTGGAGTTACAGACAGTTGTGAACCATCGGGTAGGTGTTGGGTATCAACCCTGGATCCTCTGGAAGACATCCAGTGATATTAAAGAATGAACCCTATCTTCAGACTCTAGTTTATTTGTTGTTATTTTTAAACATTATTTGGGATGTCTTTAGGAATAGTTGCATCATATCTGCAGGTAATTTTGGCTCTATCAGTTGGCTTGAGGTTTCTTGAATGTCAGAAAAATGTAAAAATGATTACAGGGTGAGGGGCTGTGTGTTCCCTCTCATATCCCCTTCAATGCCCTGTCTTTCTGTCTTATTTTGGGACAAGCAGACCTCCCCATGCACAAATATAAATATAGACAATCGTATATCGCAGGATACAAAAGTCAATCGAGAATGAACAAATGATCTACAGAGGACTAGAGAGACATCTCAAAAGTTAAGAGTGCCTTTTGCTATTGCAGAGGACCTGACTTCAGTTTCCAGCACACATATGGTGGGTGACAGATGTCTGTAACTCCAGATCCAGGGGAACTGACAGTCTCTTCTAGTCTCAGTGGGCATCTGCACTCAAACGTGTATTTGGCACACACAGACATACAGGCAGACCCTCAGTAAATAGGGAAAATAAACCTAAAAGAAGTCCAAATTACAACCTAAACATGAATCTTGTAGCAGAATACAATTGGATGTTCAGGTTCATGAATTACAAACAAACTTCTTAGATATGGCAAACCCCCTTTCATTAAATGAAGAACTGGAGTGTTACGAATTCCATAAAGTGAGAAAATATCTATTCTTCCAAATATATGATAGAAACATATTTTTCTTACCTGGGAAAATGAATGTGGGAAATTGTATATCAGATGACAGTCTTCTTGTATCCAGAATACAGAAAGCTTCTAAAGGAGACACTAAGAAAATAGACAATTCAGGAAATAAAACTTGACCAGAAGGGTGAGTAGATGCTCCACTCAGAGAAACATACAGCAGCAACATCCTTAACACTTAGGGAAGAGAGACAGGTTGTAGTAATAAGGGCGGCGGGGCTGCATCCCCGGCACCCGGCCGCCCCCACGGCTAGCTTTACCCAAAATAATTACACGGAAACTGTATTCATTTAAACACTGCTTGGCCCTTTAGTCCTAGACCTTACTGGCTAATTCTGTTATCCCGATCAACCCATCTCTAATAATCTGTGAGCACCGGTCTTACCTGGAAGATTCTAGGTCGGAGCTTCATCTCGTGTGTCTGCCCAGGAGCGGGGCATGGCGTCTCTCTGAGGCTTCTGCCCCCGAGAGGAGAGCTGTGGAGTCTGAGCTCACTTCCTCTTCCTCCCAGCGTTCTGTTCTGTTTACTCCTCCCACCTATCTTCTATCCAATAAAATGGGCCAAGGCAGTTCCTTTATTAGCCAATGACCTTCCTCCATCAACAGGTGACTCTGAGGGGACTCTAGACAACCCCATAAAATACTCAGAAATAAAGACTTGTCATACAAAGACCTGGCAAGTTTGTGGAGGATGACTCTCCCATACCCACTGCTGGTGGCCATGGAAAACAGGATGATAACTTGGAAAAATCTTTTTCTGTTTCTTCATATGTTAATTGTCATCTGGCCATCACAACCCAAATATATAACCTGGAGAAAGAGGACATATTTTCTTTTAAAGACTTATTTATTTCAGTTCACAACAGCTTTATATACAAGACACTGAAATTGAAAACAACCTCAGCAACAGGCAACAGGCAAAGACTCATTTCCCAAAACCAGCATGGCAGTTTTCAACTGTTAACTCCAGTGCCAAGGGATTCATTGTCCTCTCTTGGCTTCCATGGGCAACAGGCATGCATGCGCTCTTCATACCTATATGTAGGCAAGCATATATACACATGAAATAAACTAAATTATAAAACTTGCCGTGTAGCTATACAATGCTACACTATTTAGTATTAAGAATGAACAATTATCATGGGAAACAAAAGAGATAAATTTAAACATATATTCAAGATGAATGAAGGCCAGATGTCTCTAAACTCTGGTTCTATCCTAATACATTCCAGCATATATAAATTTGTCTATAATATCAGATTGTTGTATTTTTCTGCAGACAGGGTTGGGCAGTGGTTGGGTATGAGAACCTAAGTAACATAAAGAAACTTTATGGATTGGTAAATAATAATGAAACTTATACCTACTTGAGTATAAGAAGATGTCTATTGTCATTATGGGGAAAAGTGGAAAAATACAAATTACGTTTTATATTTGGTGACTTGGACTTCAGAGATTGCCCCATGGTTAACAGGACTTGCTGTTCTTACAGAAGACCTGGGCTGGGTTCTCAGCACTCACTTGCTGGCCCACAATGGACTGCATATCTGTTTCTAGGAGAAACAACACCCCTTTCTGTCCAAAGCAGCACACCCTGATCCTGAAACCAGAGCAAAAGAAACATACACTGACCCTGAGACTAGAATCAATTCACTGGCCCTGAAACCAGAGCCCAACGTTTTAAAAAGGCCAGTGAAATAAACACACTTTGCCCCTGAAACCAAAGCCACAGAAACACACTCTTCCACTTACCAATTCAGCGAAACAAACTAACCAATCTCTCAGCATAAAAGGAACCAATCCCAGAGCAGGAAAACAAGCTAATGACTGAGCATGAAACCACCCTGTACCTGTTCAGTTGGGAGCTGCCTTTCCCACTCTTGCAGGGTCAGCCACCTCCTGGACTCTTCCCTCCTAGTGAATCTCTTGAATGAGGCTTGGGTAAGACCCTCTTTGTCTAAGAAGAACAGAGAAGCAATGACTTCAACTGGGGTCAACTGGAGCAGAGGGGAGCAGAACTGGAAAAGTTTCTCTTAGCAGAGCAGAGTTGTTACTCTTCTGAGGATCTAAGGAGAGCTGTAACAACATGGCTGGGGTAACCCTCCCCTACCAGAGCAGAGCTGTTAATTTGGGGCAAACTTTCCCTGAAGCAGGGCTGTGAGCTCCTAAGCGTAAGGTGAATTTGTGATATTAATTGATGCCATCTTAAATGGATTCCTCTAGCCAATACTGGGACAAATGGAGCATGGAAATAGAGAACGGCAATAGATGAAAACAGTTTAGGAAAATGGGTGTTGAGCCATACTGATATAAGTCAGCACATGAGTAAAGAAATATGGAGATAAGTAAGCAGTGTACTACACACCAGGTCATCATTGAAGAGGACCAGGAGAATTATAACACATAACCTATCACAGCAGTAAGTGATTAACTTTCACAATATATATCCAGGGACATATTTGCACAAGCATGAGTATATACACAATACACACTAACAATATTCAATGTAAACACACAGCTCTCACCTCGAAGGAAGAAGTGAGTTCATTCTGGAATCAAATATCTGTGAATAAACATGATTGAGACAGGTTTATGTTAGTACAAATTGCATGTTACAATGTGGAAACAGTTTCATGAAGTTTTTATAACAGAATGAAGAAACTATAGACTCTCCTTCAGTGCATTGGAGATAATATTAAGTAGACTATTATGGTAAAGCAGAGAAACCTCAGCTACTAGCTGCTATGTGATGACACACAGTACTTTGACTCGCAGAAGCTTAGAGCTTTGTTAAGGAGACATATTCTGATATTTTAAATGTCAGGTCCAACGTCATCTGTTAGTGACAAGGTGTTAAGTAAGTCCAGCACAGGGGGCCCAAGGAGTGGCTACTCATGGGCTCAAGAGAACACAAAGGAAATTGTAATTAGGCCCTGGGACTGTGACTTCCACCATCTCCATATCACTGCAGGTCTAAGAGTCAATCAACCAGGCTTTGCAGACCAGCCTCTGCCAAGGAATTTCTGTACACACACACACACACACACACACACACGACACCTCTCATTCTCACTCTCCTAGATTCCTGGTATTTACTGAGAGCTCAAGGGGTACAATCACGTTACAACAGATTCATCTCTGACCACACACAGGATGGTGAGAGCTACTAAATTATGTGGTCTGAATGAGATTCCTGTGACGATGGCCATGGACTTGTCTCTGGGACATTTCTCTCATTTCTTTCCGACTGTCAATAATAACCTGTAAATGCCGATAAGAAAATAGCGACAAACTGCATTACACATCAAATAACGTTTTCATCATGGGATAATCCATGCTTTCAATAAAAAATATCCTTTGTAAGTTTCATTGACACTTGTTTCCTGACAGTTTACAGAAGATTTAATAATTTGTTCACACAAAAAACAATACGTATCTATTTGTTTAAAAAATAATAGCAGTTATAGATGAATCAAAAAGTACAAATATTTGTGCATTATCCCGACAGATAGATCCATAGTGCTGATAGGCCGAGAGATTTCCAAACATTGCTGAATTGGAGACAACCTGTCTTAATGAAGGACAACTATGTTCACAGCTCAAACAATTCATTATTAGTAAGATGTCTGTTGATTCAAAACTGAGCTACAGATTCGATGCACTAACAATAAAATAGCACTTACTCTTTTTAAAAATTCTCGAAAAACCAAAAAAAAAAAAAAATTGAGTGGAAGCCGGGCGGTGGTGGCACACGCCTTTAATCCCAGCACTCGGGAGGCAGAGGCAGGCGGATCTCTGTGAGTTCGAGACCAGCCTGGTCTACAAGAGCTAGTTCCAGGACAGGCTCCAAAACCACAGAGAAACCCTGTCTCGAAAAACCAAAAAAATATAAATAAATAAATAAATATAAAAATTGAGTGGATAACTCTAAACATTTTAGACTAAATATATAGCTTGTGTAAACCTTAGAAACAGACAAATGTTAGAGAACAGCATTGCCTGATAGGAGACCTCTGTTTGAACCTACAGTAATTGGACCAGCATGCTATTGAATCAAAGTTGGCAAGAAAAAGTCCAAAACCAACATTCCACGCTCACATCCACACATTTACAGACCACTGCCTATATCGAGTCAACATTTTTCCTGTGTCTGATGCTGGCATCAAGCTTGTGTGTAGTGCGTGTAGTGTGTGCTGAGAAGAACTGACCATACTCCTGCTGCAGCCTCCCAGGCACTGGGATTACTGGCATATGTACCATGATTGGATAATTGGAGAACTGATGTTTCACAAATAAACAAGGCAATTTGATGCATAAAGATGGCCTTTCAGGAAGCAATACTGAGGCAAGTGTATATCCAAACCCACAAATATAAACTAGGACCTACATCGTATCATATGTGAAGACCATTCAAAATAAATTACAGATGTAAAAATATAAAAATCAGCCTATAAATGTCAAACAGAACACAAGAAGAAAATCCCTGTCACTGGGTGCCAGGCAAAGATTTCGCAGACAAGACACCGAATAAAAACCGTAATTGAAGAACTAGAGAAGGTGGGATCTTACAATTTAAAATCTCCTGTTCTTCCAAAGACATGGATGAGAATTGAGATGATAAGTCTGAGGCTAGGAGAAAAGTTAGAAATACATATATCTGATAAAACATTTCTAACATTTCTATGAAACATACGGAAAACCTCAAATGTCAGCGAGCAATCTCACGCACAGAGTGGGAAGTCGGGATCACAGAGTGCTCATTTGGCCTCATTTCCCTCCTGCTCACTCTCCGACAACTCCCCTCCTGGACAATGGCTCCAGCACAGCCCTGTACAGAACAGCACAGGAGGAGGCCGAATGGTCCCAAGTCTCTCTCCTTCCGGAGAAACACAGGCTGCAAACCCCGAGGTAGGAGTGGTCCTACTTGGGTCTGGAATCCCTGCATCTGCCTCCAAACCCTCAGAAAGATTCTGGTGCTCCCCTCCGGGAATCCATAAGCTCAACTCAGTCCAAACACCAGGAACTGAATGCTCCTTTCCAGGACATCGTCCGGTCGCCATTTGAAAAGAGTCGCCATAATGACCCCGGTTTCTATGACAACCGCAATGCTGCCTCCCCCTTAGTAACCAGGAATGGCTCCGCCCAGCCCTCCCTTACTTCCTCTCAAAGGAAGAACTCTTCACCCTTGTTTTCACCCAAGAAAGCATACCCATTAGAGAAACTGTCCCCACTACGAATGCAGAGCTTTTCTTTTTTTTCCGCTCTGTGAACAAAGCATATCCCTAAAAGCCCGACCACATTGTACTCACCAGACCATGGTGGTATCTATGGAAATGTCGTCACAAAGATGAACATTGCTGTCACGGTGACAAATGAGCAATTTTATCCAATAATTAGCTATGCATATATAACCTCATCACGGGACTTTAAATTCTGGGACACCTTGCACATCAACATGCTGAAAAAAGAAAATCAAAGGTTAAAAGTATTGTTTTGGAGATGCCAGGGCTCGAACCCGGGGCCTCATATATGCGAAACATGTGCTCTACCTCTGAGCTACATCCCCACACCTGATAACAGCTTCATCAAAGCCCTTGTGAAGTCAGAGGAACCGAGCCAATGTTCAGAGTCTCTGCAAGGGTCTGCATCAGGTCCTTTGAGCATACTGGATTCCAGGTTGAGTTTAGTGCTTTGATAGGATTCTTGGGACATTTGTTGCATGAGAAAACAATCTATTTTCAATCAAAGGAAAAATAATAACAATAAAAATAATAACAACAACAATTATAAGAGCAAACCTTATGCTCTTTGAAGCATGGTAAGCTAACAATGAATGATACTTTGAATTACTCAGTCCCATCAATTTTACTTCAACTTTACTTGCAGGTGGTTCAACATGCCAGTATCATGGGGAATTAATAATAATATGTTGCTGATATGCGGTCATATTTGAGAGTATGAGTAGCTTCCTGAACCCCTCTCTAGCATACCTCCTTTCTCTTTTAAAAGACGCCTTAGTTTCCGGGCTTGAAAGGCAGTTTTTATAATCTTGGTCAGGCCGCTCATTTTGTTTCTTAACTTTGCCAATACTGTCCATCACTCCATTTATGGCAATAACTAAATGTGCGGTAGCTATTGGTTCACAAAACCCTAAGGTGCTGTCACTTTCTGCATGTTTATGTATCTCACCGCATGCTTTGTAAGTTTCAAAAATGAGAGGTTTTCTGAAATATGTCCTCTTTTCATACATCACCTAGTATATGTCTCAATATACAAAATCATTAAATAAATATTTCATGTATGTTCAGATGAGTTAGAAAAGTGAGTATTTTTAAAAAGAAAACAATCTATTTTTTTCATTTACATACCATCCAAGTTTCTATTCCCTCTCCTCAGCCCATTCCCTCTTCTTACCCGTCCCCCCAACCTTCATCTACTCCTCAGAGAAGGTAAGGCACATTGCCCAGAGGAATTAATACCTGGGGCTTTAATTTAATTCATTGGTTCATGTGTCTGCTTTTATGCCAATACCAAACTGTTTTTATCACTACAGCGCTATGGTGAAGTTTTAATTCAGGGATGGTGATGCCTCTGGAAGTTCCTTTATTGTACAGGATTGTTTTAACTATTGTAATTTTTTTTTCACATGAAGTTGAATATTGTTCTATTAGTCTGTGAGCAATTGTGTTTGGATTTTGATGGGCATTTCTTTGAATCTCTAGAATGTTTTTGGTAAGATTGCCATTTATATTATGTTGGTCCTACCTATGCAAGAGCATCCATGAGCGTGGGAGATCTTTCCATTTTCTGATATCTTCTTCAGTTTCTTTCTTTAGAGACTTAAAGTTCTTGTCATATAGGTGTTTCAGTTGCTTAGTTATAGCTACCCCAAGATAATATATATTTGTGGCTCTTGCAAAAAGGGATGTTTCTCTGAGTTCTTTCTCTTTATTTTATCATTTGTATATAGGAGGGCTACTGATTGTTTTGTGTTGATCTTTTATCCTGCCACATTACTGAAGGTGTTTATCTGCTGTAGGAGTTCTCTGGTAGAGTTTTTGTGGTCACTTATATGTACTATCATATCATCTGGAAATAATGAAAGTTTGACTTTTCTTCCTTTCCAATTTGTATCCCTTGATCTCCTTTTGTTGTCTTATTGCTCTAGCTAGGTCAACTAATACTATATTGAAAAGATATGGAGAGATTGGACATCCTTGTATTCTTCGTAATTTTAGTGGAATCACTTTGAGTTTCTCTCCGTGTAATTTGATGCTGGCTGTTGGCTTGCTGTAAATTGTTTTTATTGTGTTTAGATAGGTTCCTTGTATCCTGATCTCTTCAATACTTGTACTCCAGATGGGACTCAAACTACCTCATATTCCACATATAGCACTTGGGGCATATACCCCAAGGACACTTCAACATCCCAGAAGGTCACTAGCTATTCCATGTTCATTTCCACTCTATTCCCAATAGCCCAAAATTAGAAACAACCTAGATGTCTCACAATATAATAATGGATAAAGAAAATGCTGTACACTTATATAATAGAGTATTATTCTTATTTCAGAAAAAAAGACATCATGATATTTGCAGGTTAAATGATGGAACTAAAAAAAAAATTCTGAGTGAGGTAACCCAGACTCAGAAAGACAAACATAGTATGCACTCACTTCTAAGTGTATATTAGATGTAAAGCAAAGGGTAACCAGGCCGAGATCCAGAGCTCCAGAGAAGCTAGGTAACAAGGAAGCCCCAAGGAGGGATGCATGGATCGCCCTGGGAAGGGGAATTAGATGAAATCCCCTGGGTAAACTGGGGGTGAGGAGGTGATGAAGGAGAGGCAATGGGGAAGGAGAACATGAGGGAACAGGATGGTCATAGAGAATGAAGTGGGAAAGCAATGTAAGAGGGAACTTGATAGAGAGAGTCACTATGGTTTTAGGGAGAAACCTGGTGCTAGAGAAATTCCCATGAATCCACAAGGATGAGCCCAGCTAAGATTCCTAGCAGTAGTGGAGAGGGTTCCTGAACCGGCCTTCCCCTATTATCAGATTGGTGACTACCCCAACTATCATTATAGAGGCTTCTCCAGTAATTGATGGACTCAGATGGGCCTTCTGTATGTGGAGAGACAGTTGTGAAGTTTGGACTATCTGAGGGGGCCCCCAGCAGTGGGATCAGGATCTATCCTTGGTGCTCAGCCTTGTTTGTTGGTGCCCATTCTCTGTGTTGAGATGTGATGCTATCCTTAATGCAGGGAAGAGGGACTTGGTACTGCCCCAAATTAATGTGTCCTTACCCCTCGGGAGGAGTAGAGAAGGTGTGGGCTGCTGTGGGGAGGCATGGGGAGTGTGAGCAGAGGGAGAACTGTGGTTGGAATGTAAAATGAAATTTAAAAAACAAATTGATCAATTTAAAAAACAATTGAACCCACTCCCCAAATCCTCTTAGCCAAGACTGGTGGTTCATGCCTACAATCTCAGCACTTAGCACGTGGAGAAAATAGAATGCAAGATACAATAATAAACATTATTCTTTATTTTTGTTTTATTATATTTTATTTTGTTGTGGTTTGTTGTTATATCTTAGAAGCCTTTTTTTTTTTTAAATGAGAGACAGAAAGGAAGTGGACCTGGATGAAAGAGACTGGGTGGAGCTGGGAGGAGTAGAGAAAGGGAGTCAGGAGAAATTGTATTCAGATTATAGTGAACTTGAAAAGAATCTGTTTTCAATAAGGTGGGTGGAGAAAAGTTTTAAAAAGAGAAGATCATTGTAGGACTTCAAATTAGAGGAAACTTATTTAAGTTTCTGTGCCAAATGATAAAGTGCATATAAATATATATCTATATCTCATGCAACATGTGGAATATATCATACCTGAAAATACGGTTGCTATTTATCTGACAGTGCTGGTGAACAGGGTGCATCTCACTGTGCACTTCTAATTTCTAGGTTTCATGCTGAATGTGAAGAGACAAAGAGAAGACAGATATGTGTAGCTGAGTCCCAAACTTTGCCTCATCCATACCCTCCTGATCCCATACAAGCATGAACAGAGGCAGAACCTTTCCCTGCCCCTCTAACAACAGCCAAGGCAATGAACAGAGGCTGCTTTGTAATAAGGCATTTACTTTTGATGCTTTCCTCCCTTTAGCAGGGCAGGGTTCTGGGAAGATAGCAAAGGAGGGGAAAGAGGAGAAGGGGGAAGGGAGGGAGAAAGAGAGAGAAGGGGTGTGGAGAGGGAGACAATGGGAAGAGTCAGGCTTCCAGCTAGAGTCAATTTACCACACCAAACAGCCTGGGAACCCTTTGGGACTAAGAGGTTATCTGGGTTGTTGGTGCATATTTTGAGTGTATTCACTCTTGATTTTAGCTCCATTGTAGCCAGGCCTACATTTTCCTCTAGCTTCATGTGCAGAGATTTCCAGGGCCAGTCCTTTTCCATTAGCTGAACTCAGTTTGCCCATCTGTATACTGGGACTCTGCCTTCTAATCTTGGCTCTCAGTGCCCTTTTCAGCAGGCTATGCTTTTGTTTATGAGTAGGTTATTCTTCTACCCCGCTCACGCTAGATATGGGCCATGTTGTATCTGCTCCTGGACTCTGCCCCATGGTTCTTTTGTGAGGCCCTCCATTTGCGCTCCTTAGACTGGGGAGGGGAGTCCCTGCTAAGTCTTTAGTCTTACTAAGTGCCTGTTGTATGCCAGGTGCTGTCTTCCATGTTACCAACTCCTCTTGGCCACACTTGTTATAGATCTGCTTGGATTAAATGCCCCTTCTCCACCGAGTTTTCTGTGGCAGGAGTGGCACCTTTCTCTTGGTGTTCTTTCTCCTCTACCTAACCTCAACAGAGCAATGTGCTGCTAATCCCCTTCTCAATTGTCTGTAACTAGGTCTCTGACGTCAACATTCAAGTCTGCATCATTTCCAGAACATGGGAGACATACCTCCTCTTGGTACCATGCAGACTTAGGCCTGTAGTGAGGCTTTCCCTTCCAAACCTTTCCTGCCCTTTCTGGAGACTAGGACAATACTCCGTGCTTTCCACTGCCCTCCACTCTGCCTCAGCCAATGGATCCTGAATAAATAGCTGCGGTGGATTTAGGAGGTTGCCGGGGCAGTGGGCCTCTGCCTGTGTTTAACAGTACCTGAACACACTTTTTAAAAAAAAAAAAAATGGAGAGCTCCCCATCAGATTCAGACTCCTTCCCTTCTATTGGGAAATCCTTCCTTGAAAGGAGCTGAAGTCCATCTCTGAGACCGGGAGTCATACGTAGTCAGCTAAAGAAAGCTCATGGACACCAGGCAAGGCACCCACCCCCTCAGCTATAGGAATTGTATCCAGAGTCAGATGATCAGCTCCAAGCGATATAGAAATTGAATAAAGGGTTGGATCCTCTGATTTGACTCAACAGTCCTGGTCATTACCTATGGACATCCCCGACCTTAGACTACGGAATATGGTGGCTGAGGCCATGACTCAAGTCTTCCCAATGCTGACCACCTATCTGCAGGCTGTTCGTGGCTAGTTTCTGGAACAGAAGCATCTGACCCTGAAACT